GGCAGGGAGTCTGCTTCTCCCTCTGACCCTCCCCCCTCTCATGTGCTCTCTCTCTCTCTCATAAAAAAAAAAAAAAAAGAAGATAGCAGGAGGGGAAGAATGAAGAGGGGGAAATCGGAGGGGGAGATGAACCATGAGAGATGATAAACCCTGAAAAAGAAACTGAGGGTTCTAGAGGGGAGGAGGGTGGGGGGATGGGTTAGCCTGGTGATGGGTATTAAAGAGGGCACATTCTGCATGGAGCACTGGGTGCTATACACAAATAATGAATCATGGAACACTACATCAAAAACTAACGATGTAATGTATGGTGATTAACATAACAATAAAAAATTTAAAGAAAAAAACTAATGATGTAATGTACGGTGAGTAATATAATAATAAATAAATAAATAAATAAATAAATAAATAAATAAATAAAATAAAATCCTGTGCAATCCCATAGGATGCAATGAGAAGAAAAAAAATTCATAATCACAACATCCTGAACAGTATCAGCAACCAATAATGGGTTAGCCTGGTGATGGGTATTAAAGAGGGCATGTACTGCATGGAGCACTGGGTATTTATATGCAATGAATCATGGAACACGACATCAAAAACTAATGATGTAATGTATGGTGATTAACATAAAAAATACATCTAATTAAAAAAATAATCTGTTTTATTACAGGCATCTGAAGAGTATTTTGAGGTTTTCAAAGCACTTTGATGTACATGATCACATATGCACCACATGCCTGTATCTCAGGAAGGATGGCAAATGATTAAACTGGGCAAAAGAACAAAATGAACAAAATGATGAATGAAAAAACAAACAAACAAATGAATGGGGCATCTCCAGGGAATAGCATGAAGAAAGAAAATCAGACTGCTCTCACTGGTACTAAGAAGTCCCTTTGATTCTACAATGCAGGTGCCATCAGGTGGTTCTCAGGGAAGATGAAAAGGTAGCCTGCTGGTCTCTCCTAGGCTCCATGTTTCCAATGCCATCACTTGCTGGGCATTTTTACCCCAAAAATAACATCTTCAAACCTGAACGCGCCCCCTTGCCCCAAACCCAGCTATTGTTTCCCATCCCAGAAAGCAGTTCCACCACTCATCGCTCAGCCATCCAAACCAAAAGCCTAGGAGTATCGTCTTTGGCCCTCTTCTCTCACCCCCACATGCCCCGTCTGATAGTCTGTCCAGGTTCTGGCTAAAAGTCTCGTTCTGAGCTCTACAGACTATTGGGCTAGGATGCTGCTGTGTCGCCAAGCTCTTGACCATCTCCACTCTTAAAGGTGAAACCCCACTCCTGATGCACCACGGACATAACTGGCCAGTGGCCTGTCGGACCTAGAAGAACCAGAATACATCCCCACCTGCCCTTGCTGAATTGGCCCCCTGGTATCTTCCTGAGCTAAACCTGGGCACTTGTAGCCTGAGCTCCTGCTTTAAGCCTCTGCCACCAGGGCCTAGCACAGAGTCTGGCCCAGGGAAGGGGCTCCGGAGATGTTTGACGGGAAGGCCTATGTCTGCAGTAGACTAGACCATGAGGCTGGTCTGCATAATTGCCAGGCTCCCTACTACACAAGCCCATGCTCCAGAGGACGCATAGAGAGTAGACTCCATCAAACCATATGATGGGGAGCTCCCTGGGCCAAAAGACTTAGTGCTAAACACTGAAGTGATCTGTGGTCTTGGTCTGATGATTCTGAGCCTTAGTCTTCCTCCCATCTACCTCTCAGAGCTGCCTTAAGGATCAACATAACGGGCACACCCCAAAAGTGGCATGCTGGTGTGGCACGGTGTACCAGTGGTTCTTCAATGTGGGTGTGCCTCAGCATCACTCAGAGGGCTCCTCCAAGGGCAGATTTCTGAGCTCCACCCCCAGAATTTCTGAATCATTCGGTCAGGGCATGGGGCCTAAGAATTTGCATTTCTAATGCGTGCCCCAGTGATGCTGATGCTGTTGGTCCAGAGACTACGTTTTGAGAACCAGCGCTCCAGACCGCTTTAAGAGCACTGCTTTTCCACAGCGACCTGGTTTTTCTCCAGGAAGCATGCTATTTCAATATTCGACTTTATGTTTATGTTTTACCCTTTTTGCTGTTTTGCTGGAATCTTAACTGAGTCTGTAAGTTCCTCTGGGCAGAAATTACACCTTCCACACTCCACATTCTCTCATTTTCTGTTTTGCAAAATAATGAGTATATTTCCAGTGTGATTAATAATAGAAAAAGGAAAGGGGGGGGGACTCAGAGAGTACCAACCCCAATAAACAGCATCCACAAATGGATACCAGCCCTGAAATCCACTTAAAAATTAATTATGAGGCAAAGAACATTCTACCATCAGTGGCAATGTGGGAAAGAAGATTATGTTCTTGATGACGCATTTTCTAAAATGTGGGTTATTTAAGATTTTAGCTGTAACTTACTTAAACACCAACATTTTTTGAAATATAAAACCACAAACAGCATTTCAACTCATAATTTTTATAGTGACAGTCAGACAATTGTGTTTTCAACATGTAAAATCCATTACACAGTCGTGGCAACAGTTTGCAATAGATTGTAAATGTTTATTGAGATGATCATCTTGCAATTGAATTTCAAAATGTATTATATGATCATCAGCAAATAAGTCCATGGGGGCTGCTAAAGTACTTTGAGTATCATTTATAAAGATCAAAAACCCTGGAAACTCTTAGATTTACCCCATGGAAAGAGAAAAGTCTCATTGGCAGGATCAAATCAATTACTTTCATGGATGAATACTGAATTGCAAAGCTGAGATAAGGTATTACCTTGTTTAATAACATAATCTTATGTCCTTCTAAAATAGTAGGTTTCATAATCGGGTTTCAATAAGGAATTTCACAAAAGGCCCACTTTTGAAAATAATCAAGAAAATGGCATTTCCACTTATCAGTGGTTCGATGACATTCAAAAGAATATTCCCAAGCAATGGACATCCTCACTAACCTTGGGTTCCATACTGTCGAGATGCACTACTGAGGTACTTAAGAATGATTACCATCAATTCTGCTATAGCTCTTATTTTGACAACGCAAATTGTTCCAACATGATTGACATATTAGGGGACAATGTGAGCATAACACGAATGTCACATTTGCTATATGTGATTCTGTATGGAAAACACTACTGAAGCAGAAAACTGCACCCAGCTCAATGGAGACACACAGGAATACACAGAATGTACCCACCTCAAACATCCACTTGCTATGTCCATCGGCTGGGCGTGCTAAGAGCCACATCCGTCCACAGCAGATGTCACGACTTTCCACCATGTTCAGAAAGCACTCTTTACCACCACTGTTGCCCACAGGTTGCAACCTTTCTGACACACATTTCCAAAGCAAACTTCAGGTCCCTTCAAGGAAACACCTTATATACACTGCAGTATGTATGCATACCCTACACCATTAACATGCGGGACACTGTGCCATCACTTTTACTTACTTCCCTCTCTTTTTAAATGTGTCACTGATGAAGTAAGAGTGTTGTGCCCCAATCCTACTTTTTCCCATCACCCTGATGGTTTTTACTGTATAACTTTCCATACCGCAGTGATTTTTAGGGACACAGAGGTCACATTATAGTAGAACTAACTGTATTTTGCTTTCCTTTCTTGTTCCATGGGGTCACTGTGCTGATGAGTCCTTTTCTCCCCATCCAGAAACCATCAGTGACTCTTTTCCCAGTGGAAGCCAATGGCTCATGCTGCCACCTCCCTTGCCCACCAGTGGAAGCTCTATATTCCATGCTAATGGCGCATACCTCTCTGTTTGCATTGTGGTGTGACCGATGATCAATGGCATTAGGGTCAGAAAAACCTGAATGCAAATTCTGACTGTGCCAGTGGTCAATTCTACCCCTTTGTACAAAAAGTCTTAAAATATTGGGTCTCTATCTCTTCACGTATATATAAGAAAAAGTACTTACATCAAACGATTAGAGAAGAAAAATGAGAAAATATAAATAATGTGATTTAAAGGAAAACAAAACAAAACACTGAGTTCTTTTAACTTCTTGACTTCCATTCAGAGCTGGAACATATCAGGGATACAGTCAGAGATGCAATCCTAGCCAATGCTCCTCCAGAAGCCTGGAGTCCCCAGGAATATTTATACAGCTGGATCAAAAGAATCCTCTTAGACACAGTCCCAGACACCAAACTCTGAAGCAGCATCCAAAAACCTCAGAGAAAGCGCTGGAGTCACAAGCCCCCAGAGTGCACTAAGCCAGGAGCTTGCAAAGATACAGAATCCAGACAACCCTTGGAGGGACAGTTCTAGTCCAGACTCTCAGGTTGGAACCAGCAGGCTCCGAGGGATACTGAGCCAGAAAGCTCCTAGAGACAAAAGCGGTTCCAGAATCCACTGAAAGACACTTTCAGAGCCAGGAGGTACTCAAGATTTGGTTGGCACCAGGAATTCTTCAGAGACAGAACAAGGAACCCTCAGGGAAACTATGAAAACTAAGGGCTCATTAGGGTCATAGGCCCAGCCATGGATCCTCACACAAAGTTAAAATCACAAACACCTTAGATATGTAACAAGAATCAGAAGCACTCAGGGATATAGTTCAAACAAGGCCTTTAACAAGGCACACAGGGCCAGGAGCCCTCAGGGATGTAAGACCAAGAGACCTCAGGGACACCTTTAGTACTAGGAAGCCTCAGACATATGGAGACACCAGAAGTCCTTGCAGAGACAGAACCAATGTCCCACTGGAAACACTGTCAGGACCAGGAATGTCTCCCTGACATAGCTGGAGTCAGGTGGCTTTACGAATCACAGTCAAAGCTAGGCCATCTCCAGAGTTACCACCAGACCCCGAAAGTCCTCTAAGGCAAGACCAAAATCCTGACTACTGCTCTCTACAACAGGAGGCACACTCCCATCAGAGAAGTTCCGGGATGATTGTCACTGATGCCAAGAAGAGGATCAACTGCCCAACCTCTCAAAATGGAGCTATAAATGAAGTTCTTACCTGCACATTTGGTTCTGGTGGTGAGGGGAGGCCCTGGTGGTCCCGTGCCTCCCTCCCCTGGTCGTGTGAGCAGCACCCGGATCTCATACTCCACGTCAGGGTCCAGATGCCACAGCTTATAGTTGGGAGAGTCAACTATGTGGGTCTCGGCCCAGGTGCCCGTGGTGGTGCGATATTCCACCTCCTTCAGGATGATGGGGCCATCGCCGATGATAGAATTGGCATTTGGCTTGATCCACAGGTATGTGGCCCCTACGGCCAGCAGCTCTGGGGGGGCGATGGGTGTGGGAGGCTCTGGAAGACAAGCAATCAGCAAAGGATGTCAGACCCAAGTGGTTTAGAGAGAAGAATCGAAGCACATAAGGACAAGGGCAGAATTCCAGAGAGAGCCATATACAGTCACTCAGATCCCTTTCTTAACTCCATTCACATCCTACTCAAATTGCCATGATTTTGTATGTAAATACCTGAGTCAGTATTCCTTCTCCCACACTACCACATCTCCTTCTTTTAAAAGAAATGAAGAAAGAAGGCAATAGTGGGTAAATGGTTTTTCTAGAACACATTAAAGATGCCTAGGTTAATATTCTGTTTTCTATCCTCAAATGAGAACATGCCTTCACTGAAGTGGAGTTTGGTTCAAAGCCCAGGGGAGTCTGAGATTTACAAACATTCCTTTCATAGCAACACACAGATTGTTAGTGGAAGTTCTCCCCAAATAGTGCTAGGAGCCTAAGAAGCCAGAGGATGGTGGCACAACTCAACTCAACTCCAGTGGGTTCCCTCCATCAGGGCGAGTGTCACTGGCACGGTGGCCCCTGTGGGAAACAAGCGTCAAGGGAAAAGTTATGCAGAGTTATCCTGCATCTGCTATGAGTTGCCCCTCTCCCATTAAGTTCTACTTCTTCAGCTAAATAAATGAGAATTTCAACAAGCCCTCACAGTGGGTCTTACTGGCAATTCTTAGCCCACTGGCAAAGCTGCAGAAATTAGCATTAACTTTGTATTCCTTATTTACCAAGAAATCTCACATGCATTACTTCATGCAAATCTTCCACCTCCATTTTGATGGATAAAAACAAAGAACCCAAGCAATGGGGTCACCCAACGGAGATCATGAAGCTTACAGGTAAGGCAGGATGGAACCCACATCTCTATGCCTTCCCTTACCAGCTATTCCCTTGGAAAGCTGTTTGCCTCTAGATGTCCATTTTCTAAAAATCAAAGTGTATATATTTGCTATTCTTGTCTGTAGCAGAATATACCAGTGGAACAATACAGAAAATAAGAACAAAAAGGAAATAAGTCCCCTTCCCTACGACCCAATATAATAGCCGTTTTTATTTCTCCATGTTCCAATTTGTATTCATATATTTAAGGCTTTTTCAGACCCAATGTTTTTCTTCCCTCACTTATTACATTTTAAAGACTTTGTTTGCAACGTCGATTTTGTCGTCACTGTCTTAAATAGCTACAGAACCATCTATCAGGTAATCACACTAACTAATCGCAAATTGCTGGGCACATGAGTTCCAAGTTTTGCTACGGTAAATAATGCTGCAATGAACAGCTCTGTGCAAATGACTCCAGTTTCACTTGTCTTATGTTTTTTTGGAACCAACTGCCAGGAATGGGGTCTGTCAATGGATACGAACAAGTTAGTGACTCTTGGGGTAGAATTAGGAAGGGGAGGGTGAGAGGAGGCATCTGGGGGTGGAGTACAACATAGATATGGTCAAGAACTTTTGGAGGGCCTCTGGGCTATTCAGGTGGGTAAGGGAGGTAGAGGTTTCAGTCTGAAACTCAGGTGAGAGCTTCAGGATAGATCAGACTCCTTCCATGTTTGCTTTTTAACTAATTACCTAGCCACAAAGATTCTCCAGAGACAGAATAATTGCTATGAAACAGAGGTGGACAATATTTTCTCAGTGTGACTTGAAGCAAATCTTAAGGGACAACTTCAGGTTACCTCTATTATAGCCTGCCATTTGGTCAGAGAAGGAAATTAAGCAGATTAGTCAGGCCAGATGCTTTTCTTTACAAAGCCATGAAGGTTATTACTCAAGGCCTTGTTATCTCAAAGGTGTTTGCAAATTGATTTTTGGATAATTTGTTCCAGGTAGAGAAGTTAAGTTGGCAGGCAGATAATTTCTGGGCTCATCCTTGGTGCATTTTAAATATACAGACCCTCGTATCACCATTGTCAACTCTCCAAAGTTCCCATCAGTTTCCAGGGAGGCCCCCAGGGTGGTATTTGGTAGCTCTGTGACGACTCTGCCCAACTCCTTAATGTAATTATTCACAGGCTGGCCCTGGACAGAATTAAGCGCAGCAGACTTCAATACTTTGGGGCTTGAGCAAGTGGCCACATTAAGCTCTCTCCCATCGACTCTACACCACCATTTTTGCTCTATTTCAGGCATTAGCAGTAAATTGCTGACCACCAGAAAGAAAATCAAGTATCAATCTTTCCAAATGTTCGGTCTCCTTTCACGAATTTCCGATGGTAGCTACAATATAGTAACAAACATTCCCTCGAGTAAATAAATGTCTCCATCTCAAATGACTTAGTAGTTTACATGTCCCTGTGCAGACTAGCCAACGAGGTTCTCTCTCCCTCTGTCCCTTCAAGAATATATCATGAAGTACATCAAAGCGCTTCAGCTACTTAGTTCTAAGCAGCCATCAGATTCTTATTTTGTTTTCTCTTTTGTTAGTAACCACTGATTTATAATTGGCATTCTTCTAGAAGTCACACGTCAGACTGATTCAAAGAGAGAAAAGTAGGGATGAGACACATTATTATATTTATATATTTATACTATTATATACATTTATTATATATGTTTATATATTATTATATTTATATATTATATATAATATATATATATTTTGGTAAGCACCTCCCTTTTTAATTTTTTTTCTTTATTTTATTTTATTTTTTAAATTTTTTTATTATTATGTTAATCACCATACATTACATCATTAGTTCTTGATGTAGTGTTCCATGATTCATTGTTTGTGCATAACACCCAGTGCTCCACGCAGAATGTGCCCTCCTTAATACCCATCACCAGGCTAACCCATCCCCCACCCCCCTCCTCTCTAGAACCCTCAGTTTGTTTTTCAGAGTCCATCGTCTCTCATGGTTTGTCTCCCCCTCAGACTTACTCCCCTTCATTCTTCCCCTCCTGCTATCTTCTTCTTTTTCTTTTTTCCTAACATATCTTGCATTATTTGTTTCAGAAGTACAGATCTATGATTCAACAGTCTTGCACAATTCACAGTGCTCACCATAGCACATACCCTACCCAATGTCTATCACCCAGCCACCACATCCCTCCCACCCCCCACCACTCCAGCAACCCTCAGGTTGTTTCCTGAGATTAAGAATTCCTCATATCAGTGAGGTCATATGATACATGTCTTTCTCTGATTGACTTATTTCACTCTGCATAACACCCTCCAGTTCCATCCACGTCCTTGCAAATGGGAAGATCTCATTCCTTTTGATGGCTGCATAATATTCCATTGTGTATATATACCACCTCTTCTTTATCCATTCATCTGTTGATGGACATCTTGGCTCTTTCCACAGTTTGGCTATTGTGGACATTGCTGCTATAAACACTGGGGTGCACGTACCCCTTCGGATCCCTACATTTGTATCTTTGTGGTAAATACCCAGTAGTGCAATTGCTGGATCGTATGGTAGCTCTATTTTCAACTGTTTGAGGAACCGCCATACTGTTTTCCAGAGTGGCTGCACCAGCTTGCATTCCCACCAACAGTGTAGGAGGGTTCCCCTTTCTCCACATCCCCGCCAGCATCTGTTGTTTCCTGACTTGTTAATTTCAGCCATTCTGACGGGTGTGAGGTGGTATCTCATGGAGGTTTTGATTTGGATTTCCCTGATGGCGAGCAATGTGGAGCACTTTTTCATGTGTCTGTTGGACATTTGGATGTCTTCTTTGGAAAAATGTCTGTTCATGTCTTCTGCCCATTTCTTGATTGGATTATTTGTTCTTTGGGTGTTGAGTTTGATAAGTTCTTTATAGATTTTGGATACTAGCCCTTTATCTGATATGTCCTTTGCAAATATTTTCTCCCATTCTGTCGGTTGTCTTTTGATTTTGTGGACTGTTTCTTTTGCTGTGCAAAAGCTTTTTATCTTGATGAAGTCCCAATAGTTCATTTTTGCCCTGGCTTCCCTTGCTTTTGGCGATGTTTCTAGGAAGAAGTTGCTGTGGCTGAGGTGGAAGAGGTTGCTGCCTGTGTTCTCCTTTAGGATTTGGATGGACTCCTGTCTCACGTTTAGGTCTTTCAACCATTTGGAGTCTATTTTTGTGTGTGGTGTAAGGAAATGGTCCAGTTTCATTCTTCTGCATGTGGCTGTCCAATTTTCCCAACACCATTTGTTGAAGAGACTGTCTTTTTGCCATTGGACATTCTTTCCTGCTTTGTCAAAGATGAGTTGACCATAGAGTTGAGGGTCCATTTCTGGGCTCTCGATTCTGTTCCATTGATCTATGTGTCTGTTTTTGTGCCAGTACCATACTGTCTTGATGATGACAGCTTTGTAATAGAGCTGGAAGTCCGGAATTGTGATGCCGCCAGCTTTGCTTTTCTTTTTCAATATTCCTCTGGCTATTCGGGGTCTCTTCTGGTTCCATACAAATTTTAGGATTATTTGTTCCATTTCTTTGAAAAAGGTGGATGGTATTTTGATGGGGATTGCATTGAATGTGTAGATTGCTCTAGGTAGCATTGACATCTTCACAATGTTTGTTCTTCCAATCCATGAGCATGGAATATTTTTCCATTTCTTTGTGTCTTCTTCAATTTCTTTCATGAGTATTTTATAGTTTTCTGAGTACAGATCCTTTGCCTCTTTGGTTAAATTTATTCCTAGGTATCTTATGGTTTTGGGTGCAATTGTAAATGGGATCGACTCCTTGATTTGTCTCTCTTCTGTCTTGTTGGTGGATAGGAATGCCACTGATTTCTGTGCGTTGATTTTATATCCTGCTACTTTACTGAATTCCTGTATGAGTTCTAGCAGTTTTGGGGTAGAGTCTTTTGGGTTTTCCACATACAGTATCATATCATCTGCAAAGAGTGAGAGTTTGACTTCCTCTTTGCCTATTTGGATGCCTTTGATTTCTTTTTGTTGTCTGATTGCTGTGGCTAGGACTTCTAATACTATGTTGAATAGCAGTGGTGAGAGTGGACATCCCTGCCGCGTTCCTGACCTTAGGGGAAAAGCTCTCAGCTTTTCCCCATTGAGAATGATA